ACCTGGAATGTGACAAAAGCTCCCTGGAGCGGCAGGTGAGGGAATTCCTGGGAAAAGGATGGGAATGATCCCAAATCCTGAGAAAGGATGGGAAATTACCCCAAATCGTGGGAAAATGGGCGGGAATGGCCCCAAATCCCAGTGGAAATGGCCTCAAATCCTGGCAGGAATGACCCAAATCCTGGGAAAAGGGTGGGAATGACACCGAATCCCAAGAAAAAGGGTGGGAATGGCCCCAAATCCCAGGAAAATGGGACAGGAATTACCCAAATCCCGGGAAAATGGGGTGGGAATGACCCCAAATCCCGGGAAATGACCCCAAATCTCGGGGAAATGGGATGGGAATGGCCCCAAGTCCTGGGGAATGACCCCAAATCCCAAATCCCCAGGGAATGGCCCCAAATCCTGGTGGGAATGAGCTCAAATCCTGGGAAAATGGGTGGGAATGATCCCAAATCTTGGGAAAATGGAGTAGGAATGGCCCCAAATCCTGAATTCCCAGGGAATGGCCCCAAATCCCTGGAGAAGGGCCCCAAATCCTGGGAAAATGGGTGGGAATTGCCCAAATCCTGGGAATTACCCCAAATCTCAGGAAAATGGGATGGGAATGACCCCAAATCCCTGGAGAATGGCCCCAAATTTCGGGAAAATGGGTGGGAATGACCCAAATCCTGAATTCCCAGGGAATGGCCCAAAATCGTGGCAGGAATGACCCTGATTCCTGGGAAAACGGGGCGGGATTGACCCCAAATCCCTGGGGAATGGATTTCCCAAAATCCTGGGAAAATGGGCAGGAATGGTCCCAAATCCGTGGGAATGACCCAAAATCCTGGGAAAAGGGGTGGGAATGGTCCCAAATCCCAAATTCCCAGGGAATGACCCCAAATCCCAAATTCTTAGGAATTTTGGGTGGGAATGCTCAGGAATTCTCAGGAATTCTCAGAAATTTTGGGTGGGAAATCTCAGAAATTTTGGGTGGGAAATCTCAGGAATTCTCAGAAATTTTGGGTGGAAATTCTCAGAAATTTGGGTGGAAATTCTCACGAATTTCACCAATTCCAGGTGGGATCTCTCAGGAATTCTCAGGATNGGAAAATTCATGAAAAATCCATGAAAATCCATGGAATTCCATGAAATTCCCTGTTTTTTTTCCCAGATCGAGCAGCTGCGGGCGGAGCTGCTCCAGGAACGTTCGAACCGTCAGGACCTGGAATGTGACAAAAGCTCCCTGGAGCGGCAGGTGAGGGAATTCCCGGGAAAACGGGGTGGGAATGGCATCAAAATCCTGGGAATGACCCCAAATCTTGGGAATGGCCCCAAATCCCGGGAAAACCGGGCGGGAATGGCCCCAAATCCTGGGAAAATGGAGTGGGAATGGCCCCAAATCCCTGGGGAATGACCCCAAATCCCCAGGGAACGGCCCCAAATCCTGGGAAAATGGAGCAGGAATGACCCAAAATCCCGAATTCCCAGGGAATGGCCCCAAATCCGGGCGGAAATGGCGCCAAATCCCAAATTCTCAGGAATTTTGGGTGGGAACGCTCAGGAATTCTCAAAAAATTTGGGTGGAAATTCTCAGGAACTTTCACCAATTCCAGGTGGGATCTCTCAGGAATTCTTGGGAATTCTCAGGAATTCTCAGAAAAATTTGGGTGGGAAATCTCAGGAATTTTCACGAATTTTGGGTGGGAATGCTCAGGAATTCTCAAAAAATTTGGGTAGGAAATCTCAGGAATTTTGGGTGGAAATGCTCAGGAATTCTCAGGAATTTTGGGTGGGAAATCTCAGGAATTTTCACGAATTTTGAGTGGGAAATCTCAGGCATTTTCAGGAATTCCAGGTCGGATCTCTCAGGAATTCTCAGGAATTTTGGATGGAAATCCTCACGAATTTCACCAATTCCAGGTGGGATCTCTCAGGAATTCTCTTTTTTTTTGGGAATTTTCCAGAACAAGGAGCTGAAGAATCGTTTGGCCGCCTCCGAGGGGCAGCTCCGRCCCGGCAGCAGCGTCTCCCAATTGGAATCTCAGCTGGAATCGCTCCGGGATCAACTCCAGGCTGAGGAGAGGTACCCAAATCCCAAATTTTCCTGAAATCTGGGAATTTCATCTTTTTTTTGGGGATGGTTTTCCACGGAATGGGTTGGGATCCCGAAAGTTGTGGGGTTGGAATGTGGGGAATAAAAGGGGATTGGGGAATTTCAGGGATGGGGAATTTGTGGGATAATTGGGAGAGGGTTTAGGGTTTATCCTGAAAATCCCATTAAACCAACCTGGAAATTCCCAGGAAAAGCCTGGAAAATCCTGGAAATTGGGGGAAATTCCTGGAAATGCCTGGAAATTCCCAGAAATTGGGGGAAATGCCTGGAAATCCCTGGAAAAGCCTCGAAATTGGGGGAAATCCCTGGAAATGCCTGAAAATCTGGGGAAAATCCCTGGAAATTCCTGGAAATCTGAGGAAATCCCTGGAAATTTGGGGAAAATCGCTAAAAATTCATGGAAATTGGGAGAAATTGGGGGAAATCCCTGGAAATGCCTGGAAATTGGGGAAAATTCCTGGAAATTCCTGGAAATCTGGGGAAATTCCTGGAAATTGGGGGAAATCCCTGGAAATTCCTGGAAATCCCTGGAAATGCCTGGAAATTCCTGGAAATCCCTTGAAATCTGGGGAAAAACGCTAAAAATTCATGAAAATTGGGGGAAATCCCTGGAAATCTGGGGAAAATTCCTGGAAATTCCTGGCAATCTGGGTAAATTCCTGGAAATTCCTGGAAAAGCCTGGAAATCTGGGGAAAATCCAGGGAAATCCCTGGAAATTCCTGGAAATTGGGGGAAATCCCTGGAAATCTGGGTAAATTCCTGGAAATTCCTGGGAATTCCTGGAAAAGCCATTCCCGGCGTTTTTTCCGCAGGGAGAAGAGCGTTCTGCTCTCATCCAACCGGAAATTGGAGAGGAAAATCAAGGAGCTCTCGATGCAATTGGACGATGAGAGACAGAGCAGCGGCAGCCAGAGGGACCAGGTGGGAATTCCGGGAATTCCGGGGGAATATCGGGAATTCTGGGAATTCTGGGAATTCTGAGGGAATATTGGGAATTCTGGGGTGGGAATTCTGGGGGGGAATTGTCGGGAATTCTGGGGGAATTGTCAGGAATTCTGGGCTGGGAATTATTGGGAATTGGAGGGAATTCTGGATGGGAATTGTCCGGAATTCTGGGAGGGAGTGGCAGCCAGAGGGACCAGGTGGGAATCCTGGAATTCTGGGGGATTATCGGGAATTCTGGGTGGGAATTGTCGAGAATTATCGGGAATTCTGGGCTGGGAATTATTGGGAATTGGAGGGAATTCTGGGGGGGAATTGTCGGGAATTCTGGGCGGGAATGGCAGCCAGAGGGACCAGGTGGGAATTCCCGGAATTCTGG